AGAAGTCTTGTCTTCAGAAGGCGAGTAGTCGTCTTCTACAGCTGTAGCAGACGAGGACCCACCATTCGAATTCGAATGACTGCCTTCAGTGGTGACGGAGATAGGAGATATTTGAGCGACACTATTATTACTGTTATGATTGCCTGTTGCTGTTGATGCTGAAACTGCTGGTGATTTCTTCTTCTTTTTCCTAGTCCTCCTCTTCTTTTTAGCACCACCTGATGTTGCATCGTCCATCATCGATTCAGCCACATTCGTCCAAGTCTTACCAACATCACCAGCTTGTCCCATTTCAGCAACATCAAGCATATCGGTATCTTCAAGCAATTCTATGGTTGTTTTGGTACGAGTCGGCATTCGAGATGATGTTGAGTTGGTTCCTCTCTGCTTTGACTTAACCTCATCGGCTGGATCTTTACTGTATATCGACCCCATATTACCATGTTTTAGGTCATTCGAGACACCAGTTTGCTTGCCAGAGGCCACAAATGCCGTCTTGTCTGAGTTGAGACCAGCAGTTGTAGATGAAACTCGCACACTTTCATCTCCACCAACACCTGACGACCACTTATTGTTGGTATTCATATAATCTGTTATACTAGATCCGAATCCCAAATCTCGTAAATCAGCAAAAGTAGCCATTTCAGCCTTTTTCTGGGTTCGTCGATACCTTGCTGGATTTTCCTTGCCTTCATCTGAATCGTATCCAGGTGGGAAACCTGGGACGGGTATAGCACGTATCGGACCTGAATCTCTAGCTACAGCTTCACCAGAACTAGGTCTCTTCTTTACATTATTATTATTATTGTTCGATGACTTGTGCTGACGACCACGTATTGTGGATATCGAGGGTGACGTGAAAGTACTAGCACCTGAATGACTTGCATTAACAATAGTTGCTACTGACGATGGTGACGATGCTCCAGTAGACGGTGTATTGGTGTTGTGTGGTTGATTCATATGAAGGTGATTTAGAGTAGATGTTGTTGGAGTAGTCGGTGAGCTCAATGTGGTAGTAGAAGACGAAGCATCATCTATATGGTTGCCATTACTCTTGGTTGATACGACTAGTTTACTGGTACCATTAGACAATGAGTGTGCACGTTTTATCTTTCTAAAGGTTGGGCTGTCTAGAGCTGACAATTCATATACGGCATCATAGATTGGTTGAGTGTCTTTATCGCTATATCCGTTCAGATCCTTGTCTACTATTTTGGTGAATTCATCGCCATCCTGTTAAGAAGTTAATAGAAAAGGGTGAGTAAAAACATGGATGTAATGCGCAACAATCATTTTGTGATGACTTGTAACTCTATGATACAATACATACCCCTTGTACAAGCGATTCGGATAAAATCAAGGCAGTTTCTCTCTCATCTAGTGACTCTAATGCGTCGAATGCATCTGAATGGTTCATTGCTCGTGCTGGGTTGTTTAATGTAATGAATGTCTATATATAGCGAATAGCACCCGGTGCCAGAGCAATAGCACGTAATAAGATCTTTCAATGAGTTTGCAATTCAAATCTTTCTCTATGATTTGCTAGTTTGAACGTCAGTTGATTTGAGTTCAGTTTGTAAACGTTCAGGACATGATATACGGTCGACGTTCGCGAGGTTTCAAACAGTCATGTGGATTGAATGGTCAACTTACCTAGCAGTACAGGCCTAGCCTCATGATGATGATGCTTGTTCTATAACCCAATGATGATATTCACTCTTTCGCTTGTGATGTCAGCACCAACAAAAAGTGAACGCAAGAACGAATTGTAACCGTGAACGAACAGAGTGAATAAACGAAATACATTCAGATCTGAATTCAAATGAAACGAATCTATTTAGATCAGCTAGTTCCGCCGCTGTCGTCGCGAAACACGCAAAGAAAACAAGATGCACAGTTTTGGCGTGTACAAGAATCAATCTTAGATCCATTCCGTATCGAAATGGTTAAGATACAACACGTAACTTGAACGTATATCAACATTCCATGCTCCCACCATCAATTTGAAAGTGGTGAGTCCACAAAATTACCTAATGAAACATAAGAAAAGGAGAAAGGTGTTAAAACCCCACTAACATTTCATTCGCAATGCATTATTGTCCTCTCATTTTCATCACACAATCAAATCACAAAAACTTTGATAGATCCCATCAGCACGTATGTTGTTTTCATAACGAGTCAACTCTGATAATTGGCACCGGCAAGCGCCCAGATGAAGACCCTTCAAACGCAAATTACACCATCATATGGGAGGGTCGACCTCAATCGTGTACGAATGGTTGACGACGTATTGGCACTTGCCTTCTTAAGATACTCCAGTTGTCAGAGCTTGGTTGAAAGGAAATTCCAAGCGTCGAACTGTGCATTCCTGATTAGCTCGCTTCCAAATAAAGTTCCGAATGATGGATTCTTGATAAGCTTGTCTTGATGTCTTGATAGATATGCAAACTCACAAGCTTGCTTGATGTCTGATGCAGAAAAAAGGAGATGTCAATCATCTAGCACGACAAGCGTTCCAACCAACACAACATGCAAATCAAGAAGATGCAGAACCATCAGGGAATTGTAGTTTCGTTATTTTCCATCACCAGTATTGATGTATGTTTCAAGTTTTTCATCATGCGGTTTTCTGCTTGATGTAGGCATACAGGCTTAAGACGCGAGATGCTTACCTTGCTAACTTGTTTTGGATGTACGTAGCGTAGCCTGAGTTCTGGATGTCTTGAGTCCTCGTTTGGTGAATGTTCCGGTGCGGTGCGAAGAAAAAATCGAACGATGCAACACATAAAAATTGCGGAGGAGACTATCAGAGAAAGACCTCCAGTTCTTTGATATGAGTATTCGAAGTTCGAAGCAAATTCGTTCGCGCTTTACACGTTTTAAAACCCTCGTTAGCTTCACAGGATTACTTGGGGACCTCACCACTCCAAAAAAGAACACAAAACATCCCGTCCGATGGCTTGATCTGCATTGACTTTTCTGTATTCTATTCCTATCAAAATTTGCGAAATACATTGATTAAGCAGCAAGAGGGACCAGTCGTCCTTCCACATACCACTATTTCACATCATATCACTTTTTCTTCTCCTTACCATACGAGTATGACCTGATGGTCTTAATTTTATTCTTGTAATACGCACAATAGAGTACCACGAGACATATTGTTAACTGCCACAGTGGTGTTGTAGATTCAGAGTTCATCTGAGCTCATATTTGGACGTTCAGCCACCTCTACGGGTCATGCGATATTCTAGCGGACGAGCCCTGTGCATACTTCAATCCAAATATTCACGTTTCTTGAGATTGGAAACCATGAGTTCGGTAATATGGTCATCGGCTTTACGTGGAAGGGATGTAGACACGAGATTGGGACAGTATCCTACCAATACCTTCCATCTTCATCAATTCACACACGTCAAACCAATCGACGATTTCCAAATGTTTGAGTTGACGACCAAATACCGATAAACCATGGAGTAACGTCAAGGTCTCCAGCTTTGGAATCAGATGGGTTGGGAGGGGGCTCAAGGTTTGAGATCCATGACGCCGCCCAAATGAATCGACAATAGATACTATAGATAGTGTGCGGAATGTTGCTGCATCACGTTCAATGAGTTTAGTGGTAATGGATGAGGGTCGATCTGCTCGTCTACAGCGATCTAATCGGGTGCTTTTGAGTTTTAAGCTTTCGAGGCTAGCATTTGCTATTGGCAAGGCTAAAGATATTAATGCTTGACTAGTATCAGCCGAAGCACCCCCGATATCAAGCTCCAGTTCCTCCAGGTTCCTGTAGTCTTACAAGTCCAAATAGTCCTCTGAGAGGTCCCGGGCAGCGCCAAGTCAAGAGCATTTGATTGATTTCAGAATCTCAGAGCTCGAGGTTCTCAAACCCAATAGCAGTGGGGTTTGAGCGTTCTTGTCCATGTATTCGTATGCAAGCTATAAATGTCATTGCAGCCAACATGGGAGATAATGGCGTTCTTTCAAAGACTGAGATATTGAGTTTACACTCGGATTCCTGATTGCAAACGATCGAGCAAGTTCACCGTCCATAGGCTCGTCTTGGTCATCCTTTTTGCTATGAAGACCAAGCGTCCAGACCACCTCAATACAACGACAAGTAGTGATAGACGTCGATGTGACGTAGACCATGGCAACGCTCCATGAGATGAGCGAGACGGTCCTCATAGAGTTACAGATACTGACCACTAGAACATTGAAAGGAACAGAGATTAGCGCAGCGCTTACACCCGTCTACAAGCTGAAGGCAGGGTACCTACCACTCGCAAAAACGGTTCAAAATAGAGGACAATCATTTCCATCCCCTTAACATGTCTCAGAGCATCTTGACCAAACTCTTGCTTCAGTGTCAAGAATGATTGATTGCATAGAAATGAATGCAATCTCACAGATCCATGCCATTTGAGATTCCAGCAGCCGTTGCGACATTCACTGTATCAATATGGCTATGGATATCGTGAAGACATTCGACAATATTGTCTATAATCTCATTTGGCAGATTCATGTGGCCTTTTTTTTATCAGTCATGTTCTAAAGTGTTAGGAACTCAAAAAACTTGAAAGTTGCAAGGCTTGATGCAAGCGTCGAAGCGTGGCTCCCGTAAAAGGCAATATTCTAAATCATAAATCTACGATCATTTCTACGCGTATTACACGTCCACAACATCTACCTGACTCATGGTTCAAACCTCAAGACTTTCAACATTCCTGATCAGTCAGGGTCGATCTAAAGAAAGGACACAGGTAAGCTCAGGACTCATAGTTTGTCAGCTCGCAAAGCAGTTTGGAGTGCATTTCCAATAGACTCATTAGCCACATCGCCGTTTTGCCAGATTTCAAAGTTGGCTTACTCACCTTTTTTTCGTCACCATAAAACTAGGTAAACATTGCAAGCAAATTAGTCCAAAACGAACTTGCAGAGAGCACTCCCATATCCACAACCTGAACTGTCTCACCCACTTCCAGGTCAACCAATCAATAATGCCTCTACATCAAATCTACCACCCAGTGGACGCATACTCTGACAAGGACAAGATTGAAATAGCTGAACGAATCACAAAGATGTACACCAGGTATGCTTGTCAATAGTTGATGACTCGAGGTATTTCACAAATTCGTAATGTTCCTCTAACTGAATCTTGCCACATCATTATAGTATTGGACTGCCACCATTCTACGTCGTCGTCCTCTTTCACGCAGTCCCAAGCTCAAGCTTTTACGTCGGTGGCCGACAAACCAACAAATTCATTCGAGTACATACCCAGCACTTGGCTCGTGCATTCAATGGTGACTCAGAAAGGAAGCGCAAATCAATGGAGTATTTGGATGTTGCGTTGAAGCCATACACACAAGATCGAGGTTATGACTGGGAGACTCATGTTACGGAGGTTGATCGTGAATTGTGGAGAGAGAATGGGTTGGTGAGTGTCGTTGTTTTCTTCCTGATTGTTTGATATTGAGGTTGGTGAAATGACTCACTCATGCTTTTACATTTTTGAAAGGTCCCACCATTACCAGGAACTGAAGCAGAGAAGGTCTGGGTCAAGGAAAATCGTGCGGTGCCATACTCCAAGTTGTAAAAGGTTGCTGCAGTTTAAGTTGTAAAAGGTCGCTGTTAGAGCACAAAGCGCAAAACGAAATAGTAGTATTCCTTGAAAATGAATTGAAATAAATGCTGCTAATGCTATTGAACATGACTCTTTAATACACGCGTAATGCAAAGGATTCCGTGAGGCTAAAGCCGTCCAAGACCTCCTCAAAAACCAACCATAGTGGCTGCACGGGTTTTCCATTGGATCAACTTGTGTTGACACCGGAGTCTGATATGGTGGTAGAGAATTGTCGAACTCTCCTTGATTTAAAACCTGGACAAAACCAAGACACCTGCCTCAATACAAGATGTATGCCTATAAGTCGGAAACACTACCTTCAACAGACACCTTAAGCAGTAGGATTTGATTCTGGTTCATATAATGCCAAGTCCCCGGCGACGAACACCTAACAGCCTGACCAGAATCCGCAATAGTCTTCTTAAACTGTGAGAATCCAGCCAATACAGTATCCTACCGTTTCGACATTGCCAGTACAGCTTGTCGTCCCACGGGACCACGTTAGTGTAAGAAATATGAAACGACGTAGGGTAAACACGATGCCACGTCTTGGTTTGCAACGTTCGATATTACTATGAAGGCCAGAGTGGCGATACGAGTATAGCAGGCTTGTCGAATCCTGTTTGGAATGGAACAAAAACATATTGGAGAGATTATGTAGTAGTAAGACTTCAAATCGGTAACAATTCCATCTTACCTTTGCAATCCATTCACTGGCAACAATACAAGAACATCGCTTTCCAATAAAAGCACCATTCGTCCAAGTACCGTAATAGAGACATATGTTACTTCAGTACTGCAATCAATCGCGCAGCTTCGAGAGCTGTGAAGCGTCAGACCAACGACACAGTTTGTAAAATGAATTGAAAGAACCCGAAAAACTCCAATGCAAAATCCCAAATTTAATAACCTCCAAAAATGCTATGTACAACCGTACGATAAAAGTGTCCTTCAGTAACCAACATCAAAGATCAACATCCACAAGCGACTGTGGCGAAGCAGGGTTTGCCATTGGATCAGCTTGTCTTCGTACGGGAGTCTGTGATGGTATTAGAGGTACGTCCAAATCACCTACATCGAGTGATTGGTGGGATGAAAAAAATTGTTGACATAAGCAGTAGGGATGCCTGAACGCTTAGTGCCCACCTTTCAACGACACATCAACCAACAAGCTCTGACTCAACACTGATGGCTGAGAACTATCACCAAACAATGCTAACGATAGTTTTGAATTCTTTGGTGTTGTTGGACTGGTGTTATTCCGTCCAGGTGTAGTTAAAGATGTAGTCGGAGAGCTCTATACGGTTCAACGATGAGCGTGATCGAAATTTCGAGTGGCTGTTTTTGGTCGTTAGTGTAGCATACCTTGCCAACAATAGAGAAAGCAGGCTTTGCTCTTGAAACAGGTGATTTTCCATCAATAGCAGAAAATGGGGATTCAGGAGAGGGGACAGTTGATACCAGCTACGTAGTTAGGTTGACCGTTGACTTGGGACTTGTTTTTTCGCTTAGCACCAAACACGTACCAATTCACTCGTCAATGCATCATCAATAATCTTCAAATTACGCGTTGATTCAGCAAATTCAACTAATTTCTAAGTCGAGGACACGTTCAGACATTAGAAAAAAATAAGTAAGGGAAATAGATACCTGCTGAACATCGAGATATTTTGACGTCCTCATACTCGAAACAGCATTCATGACTTGTGATGAGCATTCTTGCGATCGAACGACTATCTTTTTAATGCTTTCGATGGTTTGTGCTGCCAGCTCATGATCTAAGCAACTGGAATGTAAGTCTGAGCGGTAAACTCATACTCACAGAGAAAAAGTTCGTATTTACTTTTTGCCTTTATATACATACCATGACTGTCTCGTAATATACCAGCTAGCACTTGAGTCAACTCATGATGTGACAAGCTCGAGGCTTGAGAATATTCCCCAATAATCTATATGTTGAAATCAGTAAAGGAAATTTTACCATCCCTGCAAATGGTACTCACCCAAACAAACAACCTCCCAAGATTCCTTGCCACCTCTCCATTCGCATCACCCAAAACCCTGTAACAAGTACCAACAGCCACCTCCTTTACATCACCATCCTGATCATCAATCAACAACCGCGAAATAGGCCCAGTTAGTCTTGGTCGAGCACGATCATCGTCTAAGGCCATGATGACATCCAGAAGCATAGTAAGTTGTGACATCGGCAGTTGCGTTGATATTAAATGTTGTAACTTGTCGAGCAAGTTAATCTGTCGATGTGTATCTGATTGCGGTAGTGCTTTCACAATCAATTTTATAGTTTCGTCTGAAGAGGCTGGTGTTGTGAGGGAATATACGAGGTCCAGAGTCTAAAGAAAACACCGAGTAAAGTTCGAGCCGAAACAAAGAGGCAATGTTGATGAATAGCCGTTACCCTGGAGCGTAACGTGTCATCCACATGTTCCAGACACACCATTATGTCATTTCGAAATGCGGATATCACTTCAGCATGCGTTGAACGTATGGCCTGCAGTATTTCAATGCCCAGGTACATTAAATTAGCATTCTGTGATGTGGAAAGACATCTTTTCAGAATGGACGTGTATAGTATCTGTTCAGCTGATGGTTCGGTCGAAGTAGATAGTTTTGACAGGGCTTGAATACATGACAGAATGATTCCTGGCGAGGAAGTAAGCGTATCAGAAGCAAGCCAAGAAAAATCTCAGTAAACGTGTGGTATACCAAATGCGGCATCATCTCCACTCTGTACTTGTTTGAGTAGATCAAGCAGCACAGGCCGTATCTTATCACTAGTCCTATTTTAAAAACGAATCAGCCAAGGAATGAGGAATGAGTTGGTCGAATGATCTCTCACTTGATATCAACTTGTCCCAACGACCCCAAAATCTCAACACACTGACTAAGAGCCCATGGCGCCGACATCCCATGATAGTCAAATCCATGCGGCAGCCTCCCATCACGTATTTGTAATATGATGTGTATAAAGGCTGTTGTCAGTGGCCGACATTTCAGCGGTTGATCCTACACCATCGATTGTTACTAGTAGATCTTTCTTCTGTTCCTTTTGCACATAATATTTCAAACTTACACGTGCAACATCCCTCAACAGCACCAGCGAAGCACACATGACAGCTGGATCAGGATCAGCCAGCAGTCTCTTAAACTGTGGGAATGCAGCCATCACAATATCAGGTGCCACATCATATAGTTTCGACATTGCCAATACCGCTTTTCGTCGCACCAGATCGTGTTCATGTACAAGACATGATTCTAAATGTGGGAAGAGAGACGATGCAATATCCTGGTTTGCGAGATTTGTTATTGCTGTGAGAGCGAGAATGACATCCAAGTATGATGTGCTTGTCAAATCCTGAGTGAGTTGAAAACAAGAAAAATGAGAAGACGATACATTAAATATCCTCCAAGATGCTTATTGAATATCCTCCAAGATACTTCAACGTCATTACCCTTTGCAGTCCATTCACGAGCAGCAAGACTAGCTCATCACCTTCCGACAAAAACAAGCAAGCACTCAAATACCCTAAAGAGGACACGCATCAAACGACATCCAAGATCTAAATGATTTTAACACACCAATCCTCTTCTCATAAACCGTAGCAGATTGCAACTGCGTCAAATTAATCGCAGCGATTTTGCAAAAGCTGATGTCCATCTTCCAGATCAGAGCATAGTGCATGCATTTGACTAGACAGTCAGCAATATCGTGCTATCATACAGAAAAAAACATTACTAGTTGGATCTGCCAAGGCTTCATGGCAGGTCAAGTCAAAGTACTAAACTGGCTGTAAGTCTCGTGAATTCAGTTTGATTCGAGTGGAATCAAGCTCAGCGAGAACCAAATCATGCTCTTGGCGAGCAGTTTTAGTATTGGCAAGGGCTGTTATGAATGTCCTCCGCTCCAAGTTTGCAAGGGATCTGGCCATTGGTAAGGAACCTTCCAAGTTTTGGGTTTGGACAACACTGGCTGCAAGATGTTAAGAACGCGTGCGTTTAGCACGGGTATTGATCGACGTTTACTGTATCCCCGTCGAAAATACGCACAACACATGTTCGACCGTTGACCGATATGAAAAGATACAACTTGTTTAAAAACTTTACAAAAACGTGAGAATCTTTACACTTTACAGTGCTTTGAATTACAACCCTACTGTTTACCCTCTGTATCCACCAGTAGATGCGTGACTAGTACCACCATTTGCACCTGCTCTAGCTACTGCACTGTAAGGTCTTCGTTCTTCATCATCAATCAATGGTCTCCTCTCATCAGTAGGAGACAATGTATCATCGTCATCTTCAGCGTTTAATCTAGCTGGTGGTGGCGCTGATCTAAATCCTGCAATAAAGAACGAGAATACAACCATCACTAAAAAGACCCATTGCGCGATGTAGTAGACGGTTCCAAAGAAGGGATTTGAGTATGTGATGAGACCCAGTAGAGTAGATACGACGGTGGGAGTGCATAGTTCAGATGGGGAGTCGATGGAGCATGGGACAATCAGTTCGGGGTTGTTTAGACATGTGATTGTTGCATTACACTAGTGAGAGACAATGGGGAGTTGGTCCTGAAAGCTCAAAACAGGATTATTATAACCATGCACTCACAAACTTTTGTGATCCAAAGCTTGCGTATCCAGGAGCAACTACCAGAGTGAAGTAGTTCAATGGCAAGACACTCAACATCAAGAGTAATGTAGTCAATAGAAGTCCCTGTGGAGCCGTTTCTCCTAGCTTTATATCATACAGATGGACCCAGAGCATTCGGATACCGATCTTCATAACTCCAAAAAGTGTCGAGAAGAGGAAGTATGACATGACAGCGATAAAAAGAATATAATCAACTGGAAAGTACTATAGAGTTTGAAATGTTGGTCAGAAATTAAGGAAACCTAGGAGAGGCGTAGAGTTGCTCTCGATATGAGTCTGTAAACCAAACGCGAGCAACTAATGACTTTTACCGGTGATGTAGCAACCAAGATTCCGTTGAGTGGATTGTATATTTGAGGGTTCTTGAGCACAAATCCACAGTCAGAGCCACAAATGCTGTTGGCAACCTTGTCGATACTAGCAAGTAGTAGCGATACCATAAGTAGCCCAGTCAACAAGAGCAAGACGATTCCAATGATAACCTTAACAGTTTAACAGTATGAAGTGTTAGTTATCTCAGGATTGACAGTCACAAATCATGAATGTCATATGTTTTAAGGAGCTGCTTCCCCCCCCCCCCCCCCCAACCAAGACAAAAATCCAAAGCATCTCATGACACATACCTCCAATGGTCTAAAGAATGATGCAAATCGATACCAGAAAGTCTGCGACTCAGTCTCAACCCTCCTGATACGTCGAGTCAATTGTCTCTCTTGCAAATTCAGGTCGGACAGTAACTTGGTGTCTCTCTTAGTAATTTTACGATTGGTATTGATGTATCGACCATTGATGGCACGGATCTGTTCCCGTATTTCACTCAATCGGCCTTCAATGTTGCCCTTTTGTGTATCGGCGGTTTGAGTTCCTTTGAGATAGCTGAATGGGAGAGCGGCCAAACCATAGGCAGTGTAGGATATGTAAATCAGCATACCGAGAAGGATTAGAGCAGCCATGACGAACATCAGTGCCTTTTCAGCACCTGTATAAATTGTTTGTGTGTCAGCGATGGTTTTATCCGATGATGATACGGTTTCGAAGGGATGTATTACCTGATGCAGTCAGCAGTTTCTTAAACCAATCAATATCTGTCCGCTCGTCAGTTGTACGTGACTTTAGCAATAGTCCGGTCATCAGCAAGACGAAAAACAGGACGATGGTGAATGAAGTGTATTTAAGGGCTCCAAGTCCTCTCTACCAAAGTTTGAACGTGAGCGATACTTCTGAGTATTCCGATAGAAGCTCAACAACACCTTTGCGAAAGTACTGTCTTCCTCTTCCCATTCCTCATAGTAAAAGTATGCAAATGGCAAAAGGACAAAGGCCAACAGAGCAACCAATCCGTAAAACACTATATGAAACGAATCAAGAACTGCCTCATATTTCGAATTCACATGACCATGGATATCAAGACACACCGAAATAGGCCGACCTGATTCCAGAAACCATACTGGCTATAGTTTCAGGTGTTGCCCAATCGAATTTGAGACCCGTGCTCAAATCCATGGTCGACGAGACCAGATATATATCCACCGGCACCAGTGTGATGGTTAAGATGGCCACCGTGAGAGAAAGAACGTTTGTTACCGTCACTAGAAATGCGTCAAATGTCAAAATGTGATGGACAATGACAGGAACCACGGAGACTTGCCAAGCGGTTCAGATTCATGCTTGTCTTCATATAAACGAGTAAAGATTACTGAAAACAACACTGTGATCTATTCACGTAAAGTCAGTTATTTCAAAAACGCAAATCACGTTTCAATATTTTGGGGAAACGACTGTGTATGTCCGTACCAATGAAACGATGGAGAAAGTCACCCAACCCACTACCATTGAAGATAATTCGGCCATTCTAGCAGAATTGGTTGTCTCTTGCTGTTGAGACTTTCGATTGGTTTTAAAGTTTCGAGTAAAGTTCACAGCTCACAACGAGTTTGCCGTTCAAACTATACTTTTGCGGAGAATAAATCCATCCAAATCGGACGTTGAGCTATGACAACTGTATCCAACACCAGTGTGATCGCCTTTTCTGAAGCGTTCAAAAAACTACAATAAAAGCATCTTTCCATTACTCACCAGAATACGTCCGGTCAGATTCAGCACCATAGGATCGCGCATTTACAGAATAATTCAGATTTGCTATTGTCCCCTCGCGTCGTACGAGCTTCCCATGATGCTTTCTTTCAATTACTCTCTGACTTTTGCATTTTTCCCGACAAAATCTCTCTGCTTGGTGTCTTTAAAACTAACCTGCCAATGTACCGGACACTCCTCAATCACACTTCGTACGCGAAGAAAATCGTGCTTTCGAAAGCGTTCGAGGTTCAAATCTCGGCAGTTTTGAAATTTTTGGAAGTCAGAAATAATCTAAAAAGAGTACGTAAATGCGGTTAGGCCGAAACTAAGTATGTATTTAGTTATATTTCGCTTCTACTAGTAAATCCAGTGTGAATAAGACTACGCAGTAAGGGTGGCTCATATCTAGATCTCAACGCTCCCTGGCAACACGAAACCGACTGTGGTCACTTTTAAGGCCTCAGTGATCTTTGGCTGACAGACCCGAGCTGTGGAATCTGTTTCAAGTACGAATTGGAGAGTAACGCCTTGCCCAGCACATCTGCTGTGCTGTCATTGCTAGGCCTATTTGAGACAATGATTTTGTTCCCGATCACGGCTCTTATGATTAATGGTGAATTGGTGCGGTTAGATTATGTAACAATTGTTACTGTTGCATCGATTTCGCCAATGCTGTAAAACAAAATCGTGTCTTTGTTTTTCTTTTTTCTTTTCAATAGTGTATGTATGGAAAGGATTACTATACAAATGTAACTAATATAGTATAATAATATAAAAAACCATAGGGCCACATACACCGGCCTATTATATCCCTTGGGATACAGACCACCTATACACGTGGTTCAAACACCTTAATGTTTAAACCACACTAATTACGACATACTGTGCTGAGAGAAAAGCTAACCAACCTATGGGGCTAAATCTGTATACTATTCGTGTTTTGGGGTGTTGTTTTTTCCCACGACCTCTTTACCGCTGTGTTACAATCATCCACTTTCTCCACCACTTAAAAAAATCTCTTCATCGACTTCCCATCC